AGGTGAGGGTGCTGCAGGTGAGGGTGCTGCAGGTGAGGGTGCTGCAGAGCCCACCCCGCCCGGCCCCTGCAGCTCCAGCACTGACACCCTCCCTCAGCAGCACAGGCACTCAGATCAGCCCAGGCAGCAGCCCTGCAGGTCAGGAGAGAGGAGGTGATGAAAAATGGATGGAGAAGGGCCCTGTCCTGCCAGGCCCTCGGCAGGGATTGGCCTCCCTTGGCCCCGGGGACAGGGAGAGGCTCCCGGAGCAGGAGCTGCAGCTGCACAGCCCGGGGATGCTCCTCCTGCTCCACCGCCCCCGGCTCTGCAGCCACGGGGGCAAGGCAGGACTTTCACACGGGAAATGAGAAATTATCCGGTTGGAGAAGTACCACAGCAACCATCTCCCCCATCAGCCGTGCTCTGAGGCCATTAAGCAAGGCTCCTGAAGCACAGGCTGTCTCATGGTGAGCCCACAATAGGGGTATTAACCCATTTTACAGGATTTACCCAGGCAGTGCATGCACTTTTCTGTCTGCAGCATACTTAGCCCATTTACCCGATGTTTAGATGAATATAAACACTATTTTCTCTAGAGCAAGGAACTCGTGTCAAGATTTCCAATAGGTTTTCTTTAAATGTGTGTTTTAGCTGTAGTCTCCAATGGCTACTACAGATATTTGACTGGCAGAAGCAAGCAATTCAAAACCCTGGTGGTAATAATAAACTTGAAAAAGAAAATGATGGTTTCAAATTTAAACATTGAGTTCTGCCTTCTCAGAGCTCCTGGATGAGAACATGCGACACTGGAGGCTGCTTAATGGAGGTTTTCTCACCAATTTTATTAAATTCACACAAGCACTCCCCTAAGAAGCCCAAGAATTATTACAGGGCTGGTAGAGTTTATTATCCCTTCAGCAGGTTAATATGATGTTGATTTAAAATAGAATGCAGCTGAGCTGAAATTTTGTTTTCCATCATAATTTTGGTGCAGAATCAAGGACAAACAAAACCAAGTGTCATGCATGAGGAAAGCCTATGGATGAGAAAGCACTCAGAGACCAACATATACCTAAAAAAATTATTAATCTGCTCACTGTGTTCCTACATTCCTGTTCCTCTCCCTACAAGTCTCAATAGCTCCAAAGGAGGTGAGACAAAGCTTTATATCAGGTATGGCCTTTCCTTCTCTAACTCCAGGTACCAGCAGGAATTCCTCTCCCACAGCCTCCCTGTGTTCCTCTTTCTGGTAATGATGTGAGAAAATAATGACCTGAGGGTTTGACACTTTGGGCTACATCTTCAGACACCCTCAGGCTAATGAGCATTTCCCCATGCGAGGAGAAAGGTTTGATTTTGGTGTTTCAGTGAGGAATATGCCACTGGTGTGGAAATACTGTCCCACCTGGAGTGGCTCCCCACAAAACAAAGCTGCTACAGAGCTCCAGGTCTCTGGGCATTTTTCCCACTTCAAAGCAGATCTTTTTCTTTCTCCCTTCCTCCCCAAGAGAAGAGCAGCTGACACCATGTCCTGGCCTCTGCTTGCACTGTTACCTTCTCTTTAGACTTTACCAAGCTGTCCTAAATAAAAATTGCATGAGGCAGGTAAGAGCTGCACTTGGTGTTCTGACCTGCTGATGTTCAGCACTAGAAGTTACTTTTCCATAAAGATCAGCCCTGGGTGCAGCTTCATTTCAGGCACCCACTTCCAAAGCCCTGGAGATCAGAAGGAGAAGGACGAAGGACAGGCTCTCCTGTGAGATGATGTCCCTGCCCCTAATGCTCCCCAACTGTGCCCTGCAGGCACATGGGATGCCCTGCATGGCTCCAGGGAACGATGTGGGAACGACCTCACAAAGGGAGGACTAAGGAGGAGGGAAACTGCCCTCCCAGTTCACTCGAAGAAGTGAGAAGGGGAGGGAACCAACCTTAAAAAAATAAAAAAAGCCCAACAAAATAACAGCAACAAACAAACCAAAAACAGAGGAAAAAGGTCAAAGCAGAAGAGGATTGAGAAAGGATTCCCGAGGTTCCTGTGGCTGCAATGGCTCTGCTAGCAGGGTCTGCACTGGAAATAGTGTTAGTGATGAACCGGTTGGAAAACTGGCAGTTCTTGGGTCTACATTTGAAAAAGAACCCCTGGCACAAATCAAATTCCCTATATCTTCTATCCAGACACCTCACTCAATCCCATGGGGCTGAAGAAGTGCAAATCAGATTTGGCCACATAAGAGAGGGCACCAGAGGAGCCATAAGCAGGAGAGATGGATTAGAAATGCTCTTTCTGCCCACACAGCCCCACCAGCTCATGCAAGTGTGTGAGTTAAACATAAAATCTTACAGGTCTTCTACTTCATCCTCCCCCACCCAGAAGCTGCACTGGGTTGTGCAGTAATGGGAGAACCTGAAGAGTTAACGGGCAAACAGGTTCTCACCCCTGAGCATTCAGTGGGATGCTTTGTTACTTTCCTGCTAATGTGTGAAAATGAACCTAAATACGTGTTCCCATGTTTAAACCCTTTGTATGGAAGGAGGGTCTCACAGTGCACGGGAAGAGCCTGTTCCAGTGAAGCCACAACTTCAGTTGGCGTTGCTATTGTGACAGGAGAAAAAGGAGATAATCACGTTCTAGGGGAGGAGGGAAAAAAAAACAACCCTAAGCCCACAAGTCTTACATTTCCAGCATCCATTTCTACTTTCAGCAGGTGAGAAAGGGCTCCCAGTACCATTGTGAAAGGGAAAAACGATCAGGAGCTGCACAGCCAGTTCTATTGTATTTCCCACTGAAATAATTCAATACTCCACTGTGCTTCCCATTCTGAAAGTTCATGGCTCGCTTCCCGAGCTCAAACCTCAAAGTGGAAAAAAAACTCACCTAAAAATATTAAACTTGAATGGAAAATATACCATTTTGGTGGCAAAACAGTCCTAATTCAAGAACCTCTTTTATAAACTTAATGGTGCTCCCCAACTGTATTTAATTTTTGTATTATTATTTGCATTTATAATTGTATTTATGCTCTGAGGCCCAGATCCTAGACTGGTGTAAGACTTCGGTAATTTCAGGGCAGATGAAAAAACAAACACACACCAGGAAAAAACCAAACCAAAACAAAATCCCAAACAAAACGAGGACAGCAACAAAACCCAGAAAAAAACTCCAAACAAGTTAATTTAAAAAACATAACAGTATTAGTTGCACTTGTCCTTTCTGTTTCTCCAGGGAGCCCATTCCCCACAGGCTGCAGCTGCCCCCGGGCAGGACCATCCCAGCAAACACTCTGCTCTCCCAGCAGCTTTGGGCAGCTCCCTGGACACACACGGTGCTTCCTCGGGGAACTAAAACGCTCATCAGCCCAGGGGGCTCAGAGGTGGGATGAGTTTTGGACTCTCCAGCCCACACCAACGCCTACAGGGGACACGGTAGAAGATTCAGCACATTATTTAGAAAATGCAAGGGCTTGTTTGGAAGAGCTACTACTGCCTATCCTTCCTTTGAGGAGGCTGGAGCAGAGCCTGAGTTATCCTTTACTACAGCCAATGCTTCAGTAGTTTATTTTTGCATTCACTACTTTTTTTTTTTTTTTTAGAGATAGGAGATGGCAGAGCTGAGGATCTGTGTGTTTAATTACTGGATGCTGTAGACAGACTGTAATTACACCGTTTGCACTCTGGTTGATTCCACCCCGTTCTCCCAATTCATTTAAGTGCAAATAGCCTCGTTAGCTCCCTAATCAGAAAGTCTATAAATGCAGCAGTTGAGGCGCTCAGCACATCCCAACCAGCCCCCCCAAACCTGGGGAAGGGACCCGGAATCCTGCATCCCCATTCAGTCAGGCTGATACCTGGATTAAGGACCTACGGTGCATCCTCATCCCGGTTGATTCAAGGGATGCTGGACCTGGAAAAAAGACTGCAGAACGTGGGGTGCACTCCCACCCCCAGCCTGTTCAGGGGGTGCAGGAAACAGGGTGCACCCCAATGCACAGCCAATCCAAAGAGTTCAGGATCCTGGCCAGGAGGTGAAGGATATAAACTACATCAGCTACATCTCTGTGCCCAGCTGGTCAAAAAAAAAAAAAAAAAAAAGAAAAAAAAGCCAGCAGGACTCGGGCTCATGGCCAGCCACTCTGGGGTGCAGGACTCGGGCTCATGGCCAGCCACTTTGGGGTGCAGGACTCGGGCTCATGGCCAGCCACTCTGGGGTGCAGGACTCAAGAAAAGAGGGACAGGATCCAGTCTGCCCCCCGTGCCCAGCCGGTCTGGGTGATGCAGGACCAAGGTGCACCTTATTCCCAACTCTCCCAGTGAGTGCGGGGCACGGGGCCGTGGCACCCAGGCTGCACCCTCAGTGCCCAGCCAGCCCAGGGGGTGGAACCCCCGCCAGCCCAGGGCACAGAATCCGGAAAGGCGTTGCTGGATCTGGGCACCCCTGCGCCCGGCCAGCCCGGGAGAGGCAGGACCTGGGCTGCATCCCATCCCCGGCCAGCCGCGGGTGCCGGACCCGAGGAAAAACCCTGCTGCCGAGCCGCTCGGGGTGCGGGAGCCGGGGTGCGGGATCCAGGGTGCGGGATCCAGGGTGCGCCCCGTGTCCTGCGCTCGCAGGATCTGAGTGAGCAACCACAGGAGCCGGGATGCGCCTCCTGCCCGGCCGGTGCGGGACCCGGGGAATAGCGGCGATCCCGAGGGGGTCGGGTGGGTGCGGGACCCGGGCGAGGGGGATGCGGGACCCCCACGCCCGCCCAGCCGGGGGTGGCAGGACCAGGGGTGCGGCCGGTCCGGGGGTCGCGGGAGGCGAGGACCGGCCGTGCGGGACGCGGTCCGGGGGGATGCGGGGCGCGGGGAGCACTCACATCGAGGATGACGGAGGTGCCCTTCCTCTGGGCGGCGGCGGCGGCGCCCGGGGCGAGCAGCTCCCGCTCGGCGAGGCCCTTGTCGCCCATCCTGGCGGCCGCCCAGCGCAGGAGCCCGTCCAGCCCGCGCAGCGCCGGCGCAGGTTTCCGCAGCAGCCTCTGCACGCCGGCCCGGCAGTACCGCGCCGCCTGCTCGCACATCGCTCAGCGCAACCTCATCCCGCCGACGGGGCTCCCCCGCCTTCGCCTCCTCCTCCTCCTCCCACAGCCCTCGCCGGCAGCGGGCGGGTCCGCGGGGGGACCCCGGGGGGGCTGCCCCGAGAGCGAGAGGGGGGTTTTGGGGCTGGGGGTAGGTCAGCCCAGCCGGGTTCCGGCACAAACCACCCTTTTAGGCATTTTCTGTCTAAAAAGACTGTTCCTGTGGTGTGTTCTCTCCCCTCCACAGCCCTCCTATATCCATACGGATTTTAGCAGCTCTTTGTAGGGACAGAAGAGAACAAATTTCTTGCTAGCAAATAAAACTTGCCCCTGACTGCCTATCCCTACTCCAGAAAGCCCCCATACAACGAACAGCCAGCAATCCCACCTGGGCTATTGCAGCTCCCATGGCTACAGTGCTCAGCTGGACAAACACTTCTAACCCTATTTTGCAAGGATGTTGCTTTGTGATACTCTCCTCCTCAGCTACACAGGTCAAGATTCAGACTTGCAGCAGGGGCAATAAGTCTTCTGGACAAAATGGCACCGAATCATTTCATCTCCCACTCCCCACCAGAGATGCTCCCCGTTTGAGTTCAGACTCATAAAGGCACCAAAGCCTCAGACCCAGACACACTTGGAGGGTTCCCTAGAATTCCAAAGCAGCCACAGGCTCCAAATGGGCTTTCCCACATGCAGCAGCCAGACCCCTCACAGGCAGCTCCAGGGGACTCAATGCTCCACCAGGGCCACATCCCCAGATTAGAACATCTCTGACACAGCAGCCAGCACTCCCAGCACCCCATGCAGTCATTGCACACTTCCCACACTGAGCTGTGTGCCTGACCTGCAAATTAGGAACAGCGAGATCGCTCCAACAGACCTGACCAACTACTGCTTGAACAGAAACAAACAGCAAGAATTATTTCTTTCAGCAGAGTTCACACATTGCAGTGCAGCAAAGCCCAGACCCCTGGCCCAGAAAAGCCTACCCAGAGGAATTATTTAGCCTCCTCTTCTAACCACACAGCTTTATTCAGGTAAATTAGGGTGAAACTTCTGTGTTGGAGGTGACAGGTGGGGAATGTGCATTTTCCTTTCAGCTGCTGCTCAAAGAAGAGTGAGTGGGAGCCTGGTTCTCTCTGCTGCAGTACTTGCACAATAGCTGGAAGCTCTTGAAAGGCTTTCAGACAAATGGGGCCCAGAGCAGCCTGGCAGTAGGTCAGGACACCCACGGGCTGAGCCCCTCTTTCACCAACTCTCACCTTTCAGGGTTTCTTTATCCAGCATTAAAAAATTCATGGGCCTGTACCTCTGGTGGCCAGAACTATTGTGCTCTTTTGTACTTGTACAATCCTCAGGTTATTCCTGTGCTTCTTTCTCCTTCAGACTTTCCTGCACTAAATGGCTGGTTCAGACTGTATTGATCATACCCAGGTTAGGATTACTACATAAACTTGTTAATTAAAACTATTGACTGAATAAGTCTATAAATGTGGTTCTTTGGATTTTCCTTCCCATTTGCCATGAAGATTCACAGAATATTCTGAGTTGGAAGGGACCCACAAGGATCATCAAGTCCTTAAGTGAATGGCCCATACAGGGATGGAATCCACAACCTCAGCACTATTAGCACCATCTCTAACCAGTTCAGCTAACCCCAGGGTTTCATTCATTACTTGGATTTGAATTTTGGGGCTATTTCTGTGCTTTTGTCAAAATCAGTTCTTCTAAATTCCAGTTCTATGGCATTTAAATACTCATTTTTCCTCCTAAATGGATCTAGATAGAAAAAGTTTTAGCCATTCAGGCATTAGGAAGAAGCCAGCCATTTGTACTGGGTTGTGTTCCTTGGGGCTATTTCCAAGTTTCTGTGAAGTTGAAGTCTGAGGAAAAAGTGGGAAAGACTGTTTGATTTGGGTGAGGAGACAGAGGAACCCTCAAGGCGCATGCTTAGGCTGGTGCCAGCCCCTGTCACACCACAGCCAAGGGGCAGGGCAGGGGCACAGACCTCACCTTTTGCTTTGTGTGCCAAATATCCTCCCCTGCTTCTTGCCCAGGGAGACAAGAAACCCTCTGTCCTGTGCAAATAAACACAACTGCAGCCAAGACACCTTTGCCAGCCTCTGCTGCCATCCCGTGCTGCTGGCTGTGGCACTGAGCAGTGCCCAGCAAACAGCCACCAACCAGGGCCAAGAGAAACCAAACAGGTGATGGGCAAGTGGAACCAGCAGAGTTTTCCTGCTGCAGAACATCCCCTGCCTCTTTAGCTGCAGCCCCCAGGCATCAACACACTTGTTGCTCTTCCATTAAAGGTGGAGAGAGCAGGACCAGCAGCAGCCCCTGCTTGCCCTGGAAGCTTTATAAATAATGCAGATGCTGAGCAGCACAGAAATAAATAGGAGAGAATACAACAAAACCAGCACAGATAAATCCAGACAAACATTCAGAAACTCTATGAGATCTCAAAAAAGGGCTATTTCCATTCCAGTTTCAAGTCTGATCATGGCACAACAGTTTTTCCTGCCTGGTGACTGTGGAGCTCAGCACAAAGCACTGTTTATCCCATCCCTGGTGATGTTTTCCCTTCCACCTTCCACACAGGGCTTATTCAGGTGCTGCACACAGTATTTTCCAGCCACTTCTAGAAAGGCTGTTAGAGCAGGAGCTCAAACCATGTGCTGTAATTTCAGATGAGAGGCCACTTGAAAAGCCCAAGGGCTTCTCTGAAGGAAAGGTCCGAGTCAGAGCAGTGCTGCCCACACCCCACATGGCAGGCAGAGACAGCAGCTTTCATCTCCCCTTTGAATTGTGCCTTCTCCCCCCTGCCCCTCTGCACACAGCAGGCAGCTTTATTTGATTAAAAACTTCCAACAGGCAGGACCTGCAGCCGTGCTTGGTGCAAAATGTCACAAACGACTTACTAATATTGACTAATGACTGAGGGATTGAGGTGAATCCAACAGTTGATGGCGGGAAGAGGAAATGGCAACCCTGTCACAGAGTGGGAATTAGGCAGAGCAACCTTGGCTGCCCAGCCCAGAGGCTCTAATGACCCTGTAGTGCCTGTATTAATTTCTGTTTATTGCAATGCAGCATGGAATCACCAGGTGATTTTATCAAAATTCATACCCCAGCTTGAAAATGCCACACAGCCAACAGCACCAAGGTAATTTACTGGTCTGAACCGAAGAAGATCCACGGGCAGCAGGTGTTAACTCCTGAAAACACAGCAAACCCCCTCCCCTCTGCAAGCTGAGCAGGGCAGAGCCCGTGGTTTGGGGAACACAGCTCACCCACACAGCTAATGAGGTGTTCAGTCCACCCCAGTCACTGGGACCAGGGGCTTCTGCTCCAGGCCCTGCAATCAGGGGGAGTACAAAGCTTCAAATGCACCATTTTAGGCCAGATTCAGCTCAGAAATCTAAGTTCTTGTTTAAAGACAAAACGTAGCCTTAGCCTTTAAATACCTCCAGAGCTTCTTCCAACCACAGTCATTCTAATGAGACAAAAAAACCTCTTTTCAAGCACTTCTGCATCCAAACACTCCCTCCTGCTCCAGGACCAGCACTGCAGCCAAGGGGGGAACAAGCAGGTCCAGCACAAGGGGAGAGAGGCCAAGTTTTTCTGAGGAATTACTCAGCCCCCCCAATGCTGCAAATGGAAACCAGGCACAGTTTGAGTTCTGGTTATTGCTGGTCACGATCCTAAAGGAAATCTGGTAAAGGGGAATTATAAAGAGTAGTCTTACCATCAAATAAAACTTCTGCAGCATAGGATATCATAGCTCTCAGACATCCAGATTTCCCCAGAGCTCTAAGACAATTCTCCAGACCAATAAGAGGAATAATCACCATAAGAAAAAAATAAAGTAAAAAAAGAATTTCTAAAAACAAAATCAAAATCAAGCTCCACTTCATAAGAGACTCACCTTCCAAGACGTAGATAGGCTCATCCTGGAGAGGGCCTGGGAACTGTGTAGCTTCTCCCAACCCCTCAGCAACAGCAGAGCTCCTGGCTGGGCTGAGCATCCTTTAAAACCCAGGACACCTGGGCTGGGGCTGCACAGCTGCCTTTCCTCCACCATTTAGTGGAAACCTTAAAACCCAAAGAATATTCTTGTTATTCTGAGTGCAGGAACGCAGGCAAACAACAGACAAAACCCTTGTGTTGATGGCTGCTAACACCAGAGGGTGGTGGATGGTTTGGTTTTGGTGTTGGCTTTTGAGGGGCTTCCTGAGCTCTGTTGTTTTGACAATTGAGAAAGTGAACATTTGACACCCAAACCAACACACCCGTGATTAAAGTCACAGGTCATTGCCCTGACAGAGCTTGTGACTGTGTAGTTGTAGGGAAGAGATATTGTAACATTTATCTTGCATGTTTATTACTTACAGTAGTGTTCACCTAAAGCAGACCAAAATATTTTTCCCTGCAATATGCAATTTAGGTCAGAACTATTAAGAACCCTTGGAATAAGCTGATACATTTCTGATGACCTTTCATGTTTACCCTTTGTTTCTGTTGCCCCCTACACCTCACTTCAGATCCTATATAACAGGATAAAAAGCATGGAAATGGGGAATTGTAGACTTTCAGATTTCTAAGCCTGTGTGTTGGCATGACCACCAATTTAAGACGTTAAAGTTATTGCACCTAAATAAAATATTGCCTCTTTGTAACTGACCTCCCCAGTTGCTACATAAAACAGATAATTTACACAGTCTCAATGGCCAAAATGTGTCTGTGAATTGTTGAAATTAAAGCTATCAAGCTTCCTCATAGCAAGAGGGGGGAGAGAGGGACTGGCACTTTTCCCATTGCCCATACCCTTTGTAATTAATTTCTGAAATAATTTCCTCCTTTGCCCAGCAGATATCATCTCTGCACTGTGCATTTGTGCGAGGAAAGAAGATGTCCCCAGTTTATTATAACAGATACAGTTAATTAACGTTCAGAGAGTAAAATCTGACAGCTTTCAGAGTCAGTGGGACTCCCCCTGGGTACCCCGTGCAGTTG